GCTGTTAGGGGCGATACCCAGGGGGCGGGGTAGACGCGGGAGCTGCTTTGGGCTGGGCTGAGTAGAGCTGCGAGGGGCTGGACTAGGCAGGGCAGGGCTGGGCTGGATTTGACTTTCCAGGCTGTGAGGGGCTGGGCGAGGCTAGGCTGGGACAGGCCAGGGGAGCCTGGGCTGGCTAGTCCAGCTCTAGACTGGGTAGGGCTGGACTAAGGTGGGCTGGCTAGTCCAGGCTGAGGCGGACTAGATTAGGCTGGGCTGCATTCAGCTATGCAGGGCAGGTCCCTGGCTGGGTGCTCCAGGTTGAGATGAGCTGGGCAGGAGTAGACTTGGGTGGGCAGGACAGTCCGGGCTGAGAGGGGCTGACCTCTTTGGAGTGATGCTGAGGGATGAGGAAAGCAGGAAGGCCTGCAGGGGATTGGCTTGACTAATAAGGTGGTTGGCAAGTCCCTTACTGAGCGAGCTGGGAATCTCCACCAGTAACTCTGTGGCCTGCCAGGTGGTGGAAATCAGGCTTTTATGCATTGTCTGATACATTGCCCTGCCCTGCGCAAGCCTGACCAGCCCTTATTTTGACACTTGCTTTGCATGCATGGCATGGTCATCAGGTAACTCCTGAATTATGAGCTTCAGAAGCACAGACTTTCAGTGAACTAAGGACTTTACTAATGCAGCAGGCAGAAGAAAGGCAAACACACAGGGGCTGCATCTAGACTGGCATGATTTTGTGCAAATACTTTTAACGGAGAAGTTTTTCTGTTAAAAGTATTTGCGCAAGAGAGCGTCTACACTGGCATATGCTTTTGCGCAAAAGCACCCGTGCCAGTGTAGACACTCTCTTGCTCAAAAAAGCTCCGATGGCCATTTTAGCCATCGGGCTTTCTTGAGCAAGAAATTAACATTGCTGTCTACACTGGCCTCTTGTGCAAGAATACTTGCGCAAGAGGGCTTACTCTGATGCTCCCGCCAAGGGATATTTGCACAAGAAGCACTGATTTTGTCCATTATAACGTGTAGACAGGCGGCAAGATTTTGTGCAAAATCTTGCCAATGTAGACACAATTTATTTTAATTATGATTTAAATCAGCGAGCAGAACACCCTGATTTAAATAATTGATTTTAATCATATTTTGGTTATTTCCCTAAAGAAAAGTTGATTCTCTTTGGAAAGCATTAAAAGATATTGATTTGCAACCAAATATAGCCTTTACACTGAATCTGGTGCTTCTTTTTGCTATCTAGAAGGATACGTTACATCTATACACATTTATTTAAGCCATTACATTGCTTAACTTATGTTTATTCTAGTTCTAGTGTAGACTCTGCTGCAGCCCTAGGCATAACTAACAGTGTGAACCAAAGGCTTTGAACCAGAATTGGCCTGGTCTAGGCAAAATAATAACATACTGGTACCGAGTAATAACATACTAATAGCCAAGTAAGCACATTCCTGACCTGAGAGGATGGTACAGGAACACCTAGAGGTATTATGTAACTGCATAAGCACATTTCTAGGAGAAGGTACAGGAACACACTGATCCCAAGTAAAATAAAGATGGACTGACAAGATAAAAATGGGGATGTTTTATTCAAACTAGTACAAGCAAGGACACGTATAAGTGTGTTAACTAACCACATCAGGAGTGTAATATGCAACTTATTTCTATCAATATATAAAAGGAGAAATCAGAAGTGGAGCTCTTTTGTCCAGCTTGGAAGACAGCCTGAGCTGGTCCATCGTCATAGACATGTTTTAGTGTACCTGTAGCTCTTATAGCACAGGCGGGCAATAATTTTGGAAGGGGGGGCCACTTCACAAATTTTGGAAGTGGTCTTGAGCTGACCTGGAAGGGGCAGAGCCTCCGGCAGAAGTGGTGGGGTTGAGAGCTATCCTGCTGGGTATGGTGACCTTATTTTCCGAACCAGCTGCAGCTAGTAAGAACAGTTTAATTTAAATTATGAAAGAGATGAAGTGTTTTAACTTTCTCATGTTCGTTTACCAAACTCATTTTAAATAAAGTAAAATATTATGTCCAGCACAAAAGATTTCAATATTTTCTTTATTTATGGGAAGGTGGGGAACCCTTTTTGGGTCTGGGGTCACTGGTCCACAAAAAAATCAGTTGGGGATCACACAAGTGAGAAGAAAAAAAACTCCTCCAACCCCCCCCCAACACTTACTTATGTGGCCCCAACTGAGACACCTCACTCCTCCGGTGCCCCAACATCACGGGGTAAGGAGAAGGGAGAAACTGAGGTCCAGGGCTTCCCATAGACCAGATTTACTTTTCTTGGGTTCTAGAGTTAGTGGATTTTACTGACCTTCTTAGACTCTGGGGTGGGGACAAAAATGAGGGGTTCAGTGCACGAGACAGGGCTGCCAGCAAGTAGAATAGGGATGGGATGCAGTATCTGGGAGGGAGCTTGGGTGCAGAAGCAGGCTGGGAGTATGGTGTCTGGCCAGGTGGAAGGAGCAGGAACAAGGGAGGGTGCAGTGTGTGGCCAGGAGAGAGGGTGCAAGAACAAGGGAGGATGTCAGAGCAAGCTGGGGGTGCTGGGTCTTGGAGGGGGAGGAAAGTGACGGGATTGGGGTGGGAGGTTTGGCCATGAGGGGGAACCTTACCTGGCTTAGTTCCCCCTTGTCACAACCTTTGCAGCCATGCTGTCCCGGAGGAAGGCCTCGCTGCTGCGGCCATGCAGTCCCGGAGGCCAGAAACACCGCTGTCGTGGCCGTGTTGCCTACCTCTGGGGCCAGCAGCCACAGGCTGTCCCAGAGGTGCTACAGCCCAGGTCCGGCCTCGGGGTCACCACTGCCGCGGCCACGTGGCTTGGGGCAGGCCCCAGAGGCATCACAGCCACGCGGCCCCAGGCCGCTCCAGAGACTGAAGGCGCTGCTACCAGCGACCACAGCCATGCAGTCTGGGGCCACCCATGCAGGTGCTGTGGCAGGGGCCCCCCAAGCCTCCGGGGCCAGCCCCAGACTGCATGGCCCTGGTATCAGCGCCTCCGGAGTGGTCCTGTTCAGGAGCCTCAGCCCCAGCACTGCCTCTCTAGCAGTAGTGCAGGGGGTGGAGGAGCAGGGTTGAGCTTCTCCCCCCCAACCCCAGGGGGGGCCTGTAATTAGGGGGTGGGACCTGTAATTGCCTCATGGGCTGGATCAAAGCCTAAGGCAGGCCAAATCTGGCCCACTGAGAGGCTTTTGCCCACCCTGTATTAAAAAGTACTGGTACGTCCTGTGGAAAGCCTGTATGTGTTGTACACTACAGCTACTGTACCATATGCCTCCTAAGAGTTACACTGTAATCCAGCAGGCTCATCTCTTTGATGGGATTCTGGGAGAGGGTGTATTTAAGCTACTGGGGTCAGCAGTGGTTTTGGGGCCTGAGAATGTGGGCTTCCATTTCCATGAAGGAGTAACAGACTGTGAGTCTATGCACAGGAAATGAACTAGTGAGGCCCAGAACAGGAAACAGTGCAGCAGTCTTTTGAGACCCAAGGAAGCTTAAAACATCTGGGATCCAAAGACTGGGATTCCCACACAGCAATATGGAGAGCAGCCAATATGGTTTTTTTCCC